CCATTAATTGCAGTGGGAGGCTGAGGAGCTGGCAGAGCAAAGGAGGAGCCCCTAGGGCATGGGGAGGAGAAGGAGCAGCTCTTCCGGTAGCTGAGAAACTGCCTCGTGCAAATATTTTGTTCTTGTGCAAATGGATTTTCCAGCTCGACCCAAACCCCTCGGGCAGGGGTCGGTGGGGGAAGCAGAACCAACAGGCTGCCGTGGAGCAGCCCAGCTCCTGCTCGTGTGTGGTCACATCACACTCCCCCGTGACACTGCCCCAGGTAGGGATGTCACCAGAGCTCCTGGTCTGCTCTGGGTTCGGGTGGTTGCTGCCCGTGAGGCTCCACTCTTCCTCTTCTGCTTGGGCAAAGCCCCTCTCCAGGGATCCTCTGCCGTGGTGGGGCCACTGTGTCACCCTCCCAGTAGCCATCTCCAGAGCTGGGAATTAAGAAAACGCGTGGTAATTTAGAGTTTTGCAATGCTGTGCTGTTTGTGCAGCACGGATCAGAACCCATTCTGTATGTGTGTTTGCTGGGTCTGCAGAGTGGCCCCCGAGGGGCTCCCTGTGCCACCCCCCTCTGCCCAAAGCCCTAGACTGTCACCCCTGCCTGCTGGCTGCCCCGGAGCCGCTGGAGCCGGTGACTGTGTCCTTTAGGGTCACATCCCTGACATCCCATGGGTCCTCTAGGGTCACATCCCACTCGGCTGACGGCATCTGGGAAAAAATTATTTTTGGCAGCTCTTGGGAAGGCTCTTGACTCACTTCACCCTGCTGCTCTCCCAGCAATGCTGGGCACGTACCCACGGAGCGGTGCTGGGCATTGCCTGGCACACAGCTCACTTGAAACCCTATGAATTTACTGGGCACAGAGCTTTTAGGGGCAGTTGTGGCCATCATCTGCTGGTGTGTGGCCAGTGGTGTGTGAGCTTTCCCCCTCCTCAGCAGGATTGTTTTTCAGGCAATCGTATTTGTGGTAGAAATTCCATAAAAGAGATGGAGCCAGGGTGCCTGCCTGCAGCACGCGTGTGAGGATTTGGGATAAAACCCCCCAAAATGCACCTGATTGTGCACCCTGGGGCAGCACCACCCCATCCTGCCCCCTGGCTCCTCAGCCTTTGGGTCAGGGCGCAGAGATGTGGGGCAGGGCTGCCTCAGAGGAAGGCAAAGCAACTACGGAGGGTGCAGAGAGGTGGGGGTTGGCCTCTTCTCTCAAGTCACAGGCGACAGGACAAGAGGAAATGGCCTCAAGTTGCGCCAGGGGAGGTTCAGGCTGGATATTAGGAAAATTTTTTTCACTGAAAGGGTTCTCAGCCCTTGGAATGGGCTGCCCAGGGAGGGGGTTGAGGCCCCATCCCTGGAGGTGTTCAAAAGCCGGGTTGATGTAGTGCTGGGAGGTCTGGTTTAGTGATGATGCTCCTTGTTTGTTGTGTGGGTGTCTATTTTTGTCAAAATTAGGTTGACGGTTGGACAAGATGATCTTTAAGGTCCCTTCCAACCTAGAAGATTCTGTGATTCTGTGATCTCACCAGAGAAGGGGGGAGGTCTCTGCTGGCACCCAAGTGGCTCAAACCCATCGCTGCGGCTCCAACCCGCCTCTCCCGGAGCATCTTCTTTGCCGGGGGGTTCCCGAAGCGCTGCCCCCCCCCTCCCAGGGCTGGATTTAGCCGTTCCCACCTGGGAACCACCCACCCCAATGCCGGGAGCCCTCCTCCCCCCGCTGGTTCTTCTCCCATCCTGGAATTTCGGTTTCCATCACTAGATGGTGCCGGAGACAGGCGCAGCGGCAGCGGGGCTGGGCTGGGGCTCGGTCCGTCCCCGTGTCCCGGCTCCCCGGGCACCCCCTGTCACCCTCCGTGTCCCCCCCGTCGTGTGGCAGCCCCAAGCAGAGCTGCAGACCGGGGGGGGAATGGCTGGAGAGCAGCGCTGAGGAGGAGAAGGACCTGGGGGTGTTGGGAGGTGAGAAGCTCCACATGAACCGGCAACCGGAGCCCGAACCCCCCCGCATCCCGGGCAGCACCCCCAGCAGGGCCGGGGG